TTAAAACATTTATAACATTAGTATGATTATTCTGTATTCAATTACTCTGTCTCATATTTTTTTATTATTTCTAATTGCGTTGTAACGTTGTACGGGATTAAATGATGTTTTTTTTTTATGCTTGTTCTAATTATTTAATATCTTCTACATTATACGATTTAATACATAACATTCTTTATGAGATAAGTTACAAAGAGACTAAGATTCTGGAATAGATAATTAAAATGTAAGCCCAATTATTAAGGCGTCGGTCGGAGCATTTTAATGAAGTTCGGCCTTTGTGGAGCAATCAGATTTTATATTAACTATTTTATTATTACAACAGTAGCTGTATTTTCTAGGCTTGTATTTTTTTTATATGAAAAGGGGGCAAACTTGCGGCGGGAATTGAGGTGGGTAATGACGCCCATAGACATCTGCAACGCCAGAGGAAATACAAATGCGTTGCCGGCCTTTGAGGTAGTTGTATGCTCGCTTCTTGAACGACTTCTTCGACCCTAAGTCGTGAACAGAATAGAATAAACAAAAATATAGAATAAGAACAAATTATTGAGTTCTCTTCATATTTTAGCATTATAGTCAAATATTTTAACGAAAAGGATACAAGAAAAAGGTTTAAAAACGGTTATTGAGAATTTGAGTCGCAATCTGTAACAAATCTATCAAAATCTCTCGAATATAGCAAGTAACCTAAACATATACACACTTAAATGAATCAGAATTATGTCTCAGACCAGTATTTCATTACTAGAGAACCATTTGTATTGTACAGTACATTTCACGATGTTTTCAACCGCGCACTCCAATTATGAATCCGCGTACTAAAGGACTGAAGCCCCATTTGACAAAGGACTGGTTTCTATTAAAATGTCGCAACCGACCCTTCTATTAATTGGACAGGCGTCCTACTTTTATTTATAACTATTTTTTTTAATTGACACCTGAGTAGATCAACCTTTAATAAAAAAGAATTAATAATAATGAAATGTAAAAAAGTTTGCTCGAAAACTAACTACAGATTTTGTGTATTGCATTTTTTTATTGGATTGTAAGGGACAATTTTATGTTACCTGTACTAATATTATAAAGAGGAATGATTTTTATTTTTGTATTTTTAAAAAGAACACAAAGATTAGGCCCAGTTCAAAAATTCTTTCTCTATTAAAAACCTGCGTTATCGCTAAGTAACATGGACTATATTTTGTAATTTAACGTGAACAAAGTCGCGAGTAAAAGCATGTCAAACAACAAATTAAACAACTCTTAAAATCTCAAACACGGTTTTGATAGTTGATTTCTTTATTTTTATTCGTTACTAGCTTTCGCCCGCGACTTCATTCGCGTGGAATTAAAAAAAAAACAAAGTCAGTACCCTCTGTGTTCTTTCAGTATGTCCTCTGCATCTCTACCAAATTTCATAGAAATCTGCTCAGCCGTTTAGGCAAACTCTAACAAACATCCATCCATCCATCTAAACTTTTGCATTTATAATATTAGTATGATGACCATGTTATATTACGCAATACATTGGCAAAACGTCCATTTCGAAATACAAATAACCAAGTTTTTATATTTATAGCTACAATAAAAAACTAATGTTCCAGCAAGAATAATCATCAAAAACTGTTAGCGACACATTGCGCTGCCTATAAATAGATGTACTTTATTTCCATCAATCCTAGCGTGCCTCCTGACGCCATGTTTTATTTTCAACCAAACAATAGAGACCTCTCTACAACTACTGCTACTGACTATTCAGTATTGTACTAGAAAATTTGCATCGGTCACATTAAAATGGACGTTTGTGTAAACAACAATTTTATAAATACATTCTACGTAACTCTTATCACAATCGCATAAGGTTGAATTTTGTTTATTGGGATTGCTTTGATTGTTTGCTATTACCACTAATAGTGCGTGACTTTGCAGAACAAGCTGTCGGGAGTGACAAATTAAATGCATTTCATTGTCCAATCGAAAATGGGACCTTGTGTATTTAGTGGTTTAGGAATTTAAATCACGTTGACAGTAGTCTAATTTAATTCGTTTATATTGATTTATTTGAAGTGTTGTCTGCTTTATTCTGGAACAAGGCGCCGAATAAATATTTACATTGAATAGACAACTAATCAATTACAATAAATATAAATATTTTATCCAAATAACAACCATCTATCTATGAGGAGGGATAAATCGCATGTAACAAGGAGATCGTTAGTTATGAGTGTGGAAGAGTACACCGGTAGAAATAGACCTAGTAAGAGATGAATGGATTGCATGAAAAGTGACATGATCAAAAAGGGAGTGATGACTGAGATGACGTATGATAGAGTTATGTGGAGGACAAAAAGCTGTTGCGCCCTACGGGAGTAGGATAAGGAGGATGATGATGATGATTTTATCCAAATAACTGTGTACCAACAGCCAACTGCTAATATGCAAGGACTTTAGCAGTTGAAACCACCCACAAGGTGCTGGTAGAAGGAAGGGCACAAGACAGTAACAAAACTCCACACCTTTCAGACATGAAGCAAAATGCACATTCATGCAAATTTAGCAAAAAAAATATAAACATTATCTTCATATATTTCAATAAAAAATCATTTAAATATCTTTTCAAGTACTCTTCCATTAATAATGAAGAATAAAAAGTCCAAAAAATTAAATATTCAATAGGAGACGAAGGAAATTTTCATAAAATTTAAATGGCATCGTTTAAATTACATTTGTATGTACTTCTCACTATACTTCCTGCTTAATAAAGCCGGAGACCAAGAATCCAATTAAAAACTTTGCGAACGGCTCCTAATTAGACGTCCCGGATATTCAGACGGCCGTGCCAACAGTAATTGCTTTCAAATGAGTGAAATGGAAAAAAACCGAGTTATGTCAACTCCCTTGTCGGATATCAAGTAAAAGGAATTGAACTTTTTTATCTAATTTTTGGAGGGATTTAGGATTTAATTATGACTTACGATGTTCTACAGCATTATACTGCGGTAGAGCCCGCTTTAAAAGCATCTGCAATTGCGGTCGCTTTCCATTTCGGTGGATTCCGGTTGGTCACTTGCTCGTTTCCCACCTTGTATAATAAAAAAGCCTCAAATGGTTCCAGTAAGAACCAAATAGTCTATTCCTGATCATTAGGTCGTCAATTTGAATCTGTTATTAAACTAGTATCATGTACGCTGTTTCTGTTTATGTCACAAAGAAAGACAAAGATTACAATAGTATTTTACAATATTTCGAAAATGGAAACCTTAAATTTTATTTCTCAATACAGATAAACAACATGTGGCAACACATATAAATCTAATAAAGATAGTTCCGGGAGCGACGGGCCGAGTGGAGTCATGTTATATTTCAAGCTGGGAACTTGATCGCTGCGATTTGTAGTTGAAAATGATACTGTCTTTCCTTTCCTTAGATGTGGTGCAAACATAAAGAGATCAACAATAAATAGACAAGTTCCTTATTAAATCTAAATAGATATACTAACCGTACGATCTTAATTCTTACTAATATAATGAATGCGAAAGTTTAGATGAATGTTTGTTCGAAAGTATCTTACGGATCTCCATGAAATTTGGCACAGATGTAAAAAATAGTCTGGAAGAATACAATCTACATGTTTATGCTTTTTTAAACCTTACTGATAGATGCGCGTGCAAAAGCTAGCTTCAAAATTCTTATCATCATCAACTTGCCCTTATCCCTTATAGAGGGTCGGCGCAGTATGTGCTGCTATATACATCTCTATCAGCCGTCATATCTGAATCCACTCCTTTCTTAAGCATATCCTCTTTCACACAATCCATCCATACTTTCTTCGGTCTTCCTCTTCCTTTGTAGCCATCCACATTCATTCTTAACACTTTCTGGTTTATGTCCCCATCGTCTCGTCTCATAACATGTCCATAACATGCTAACCTTTTGCTTCTCAATTTCTTCAAAAATCTTATCAATGTTACCTAATTCTAAATCTTATTCATAATATTTTTTAGAATCTTTTGTAATACAATGATTAATTGCCTCTTATTAATAATAATAATATAGACAACTATAAATGTCATTAACTAATGGTTTTTTTCTTATTGCTATTGTAATTATTATTTGTTAAGTAATCAATAAATGTAATGACATTATAAATGTGTAATTAATGTGTTTGTGAGTGTTATAACAAAGAAATAACAGACAGTTGTTAGAATAAAACTATCCCCTACAGTGTAGACCACTAACTAATCAATGAAATGTAACACGGTCAGAGCAGGACGATAAACGCCGTGTTATTTTGGAATGAAGTGGGAATTCCTCGCACAATCTAAACTACATTTTCTATGTTATAACACTAAAACATCTGCAACCGAAGGAGCTATCAGAAGTAATTACGAGAATTATATAGTTGCTATTTAACTCGTATAACATCAGGCCATAAACCTGTGGACTCAGTGAGTGAGAATGTTGTCAGTAAAATTGATTTACCTGCCTTAATAAAGATACATAGTAGTATGGTATATACAGATAGTAAATCTTAGTCATACAGAGAGATAAAAATCGACTCCACCCTGATTTACATTGTAACTTGTATGCACGATGACTCATTTAGTTGATACGAGTCGTCGCACGCAAACTTCGATAGCGCAAATTTGGACCACACGTTACGCCATTTTGACAGTGCAGAATTAAAAAAAGTAGCCTATAACATACCCGTCTATGTCAGTGAAAGTTGATCGAAATGAGCCCAGCCGTTTGGGAGATTACCTGGAACAAACGCGGCTTGCGTACATACAGACCGAGAGACAGACAAAAATTTTTTTCGTTATCAGAAACGCAAATACACCATCTTCCCGAAATCTGGAATTTTTCTTTTGATATTACAAATAGAATTTTATTATATGTATAGATAAGAATGTAGATATCTGTTAATAAATATAAGTAAAACGCCAAAATCAAATTTGTACTTAATTTATTATTCATTTCATTGTACAATATTATCTGGTAAATCTTAAACTAGTAATGGACTAGTGAATGACTAAGACGACATAAATTCAAAAACACTATTAATCCTTACTGAATATCGTAACCTTCTGTCGAAAAATAGTACACACCAGTCGCATTACCAGGGTTCCAAAACCCTGCGATTGTAACATCATTAGCAGAGCAACTGCCACCTTTGTACTTCTTATACGAATCACATTTCCTCGCCAAGAACCATTCGGGATGGTTGACCGTTGCTGTCCATAGATCTATGCAGGCTCTATGATTACATTTAGCAGCTTTAGGTGAATCAAAAATACCTGGTATCAAAGGAGTCTTACAATTCGGTTGAGATTGGCCTTTCTTATTAACAAAGAAATCTACATCAGCCAATACGCTTGTGGTTCCTAGACCACCTGCATTACAATGATAAACTTCAACATAATCAGCTACTCCAGATCTGATTTGATTTTCTATAAAGCTGTTTGAAAAGCAAGGACCTGCTGGATCTAATGCTGTTATTCTTGAGATTTTCTTTCCGGTATTTTCGAAGAATATCTGTCCAGTATGTCCGAGAATTTGACCTCCTAAACTATGTCCAATACAGTGTATACTATCAGGTGATATACCTCCTTCGTTTAGTATAGTTAGCATTTGCGCTAAAGCTTTACCAATGTAGTGAACGTATCTTACAGATCTCTCGTAACTCTTTATGTAACCTTGCTTATCGTTCGTGTATGGAGAATGATCGAGTATAATTAGGTAACTGTTTGGATAGTTTCTAAACGTATCTCGCACACGTTCTTCCGTCCTCTTGTTTATATTAGATTTGTAACCACCAACAAAGATAATGAATCTTTTAGTTTTATCTAGTTCTTTGTAAGATAAAATCCCATTACCTGCGTTGTTTATACTATATGTTTCTACTTCGTTTCTTGGAAAATCATAAAAATAGACATCGATTTCACTGACGTCGAGATCTAGTGTTCTATCGTGACTACCTGGAAAATATAACATTTTTGTCGCTGTTTACGTTCTGTATTTTATAAATAACACATCCTTTATATTTTATTTAATATCAAACTGCTGTTACTGTTTGTTCTTATAACAAAAATATATTAAACTTTTCAACTTTTAAAATATTGCCTTCTATTTGATACTAACTTTGTATCTGCATAAATTAATTTTTATGTAAAATAATTGACCATATCCACAAGTTTTTAACGTCATATTTTATGTGGAACTAAAATTAAAAAATACAATACTTACATTTGATTAATTTTGAACGTAAAGCAATTTGAAAAGGTCCATATTTCTCCAAATCTCCTCGTCCCCAGCAATTTATCGAAACAAAAAAGCATATAAAAACACACACTGATAATAGTGTCATTATGATAAATAAATAAACAACAATAAACAAAGAAATCGTCAGTAAACTACGTAGTTGTAACGTTAACTGTGCCTCTCACTCGTACAGTCATTGTCAAAGTAATAGGATGAACTGAAACGGCCAGTGACGTCACATGACACAGTCTAATGAGATTAGAGCAGTGCAATCACCTTTATTGAAATGTTATTACTGTAAACGTGTTTATACAGACAATCAGAATGGATATTTGTACCGATTTTGTGTTTTTAAAGTCTTTATTTTAGATAAAAATAAACATTTACATTTCAAACTTAATTTTAATAATGAGAAATTTGTACGTCTTTGTTTTTTTTTTATAATTAGTGTGTCTTACCTTTATTATTATTGTATTTTAGTAACATTATTTTGTTGAAATTAAACGGTTTTAAAGCATAGAAATGATTCGTTCTGTCTGATTCACAACACTTATCTACACCGTTCTGTAATCTGTACTGTTTGCCACTTTTGTATCAGCCAATAGCAGATAAGAAGTTATCGTCGGAATCAGAGTGCGTGAAGAATTGTGGATTGTAGGATTCGAGACCTTTAATGGCTTCTTAGTCATTAGATGCTCTTTACAATGTTAAAGAAGTTAAAAAAAATAACGGTTAAATTATTTAAACTTTGTGGATTGTAAAACAATGTCAGTGTTAAAATTGTGGCATATGACCACCATTTCATTTTGATCTCTGTCGTGACTCAAGGTGTTATTTTTCACAATGAATGGTCGTTTTATCGAAATCTAATTTACAAAGAAAATTACAGTGTATTTACAATGGAATATAATCATATTACACTCGTAGTTGCTTTCATAACGCAAAAAAATATGCAATTTAAATAATTCCAAAAACAAAGTTAAAAAAAGATTTTCAATAAATGCAAATTTCAAGTATCAGAGCCTTTCTCGAACAATTCGATGAGAGATTCGGATTAAGATTTTGTTGAGATTCAATGAGAATTGTTACGTTTAGAGGAATGATTTAAGAGCATTTAGTCTAAGCATCTTTAGGAGTAACTAACCGCGAAAGCTCCTTTGGGAATTTCAGCTCAGCGCGCTACCTGAGCATACGTTCGTAAGCTGCTCAAGCACTCCTCAGAAAGGGGCTTTAAGCTATTGCTCATAATGCGATTAATATTATGTGACTTTAGAGCGTTTATGCAATCACAGGTTCATAGATTGCTATTATTAGCTAAGCACTAACAATTAATCTTAATACCGTGTGTTCGAGCAGTATAGCGCCATCTATTTTGTTAAATTAAAACTAGTTTTATTATTAAATTGTGTGCGGTCGAAATAAGGTGCAATGTACAACAGGTAGTATTGTTCTTATCGTCGTAATATAGGAACAGCTACACTATAGAAAGGAAGGCACGAATATTGATGGCATATTGTGCACGTCGCTCTAACTAGATGCACTTTGTCCCCATCCAGCATTGCGATCTCGCTGACGTACAATGTATTTCTCTCCCCGCCATCCAAACTTGGCCTATTCGCTTTTTGTTTTTAACCTTTCCCTTGACGTGAACTCACGTCAGTTGGAGATCACGTATAATTGGCCGTTTCTGTCAACAACAAATTTGTATCTGCAAACAACGCAGTCGTTATTGCTATGAGAGTAGGATCTATTTTACTACGTTTCAAATACTTTAGATGTTGCGCTGCTGTCAATGTGCCGTAAATGTGTTGAGCAAGCTTTCATGAGTGACGTATACCAGACATTTCATTACCCTATTGTTCATGTTTGCGATACTGAAGTCAATTCATTTGATTTGAGGTTTGCATGTTCAATTATGGTAACCTGAACGACCACAAGAGCGCTTTAACTAATCGAATCTAATGAAATTACAATACATTTTTCACAACAGAAGAACCAGGTGGTAAGAAAATAACAATTCACGGCCATGACTCGAAAAACATTTTTTTAATAAAATAAATAAATTTTAATTTATAACTTTGGTAGTTAGTTACTAGTAATTTTCACACACAACAAAAGACGTTTGGAGTAGACACTTTAGTATCTTCAACGATATGTTAAACAGCAAAATTAGCAATTTCATTAGTTTCATTTTAAATTGGTACAGTCCTGGTGAGATTAACCAACAATTTTCGCAAAATTGGGGAAATCTGGCCAAATCTCATCAGTGTCATTTGCACAAGATGATTTTTTTTCTAACTTGCTTTCTTTAATTCCTGTTCTTTCATCATTCAAATGATCTGCTAAGGTTTCCCCTCGATTCATTTTCTGATATTTCACCACCAGATCTAAGACTTCATGTTGCATTCTTAAGCGGAGATCACTTCTCAAATTCCTCATAGCGTTTCCTACATATTGTCCGAATACAAAATCTTCGTTGACCTGATGAGTTAAGAATTCTCTTCCAAGTTGTACAAGTACCTCTTTAACTAGTCTGGTCGCTGACGAGTTGCTTGTATTATTTGTTATTGAACGGGGTGTTTGCTTCCACGTTGGTTTTTCATATTTCGGTCGTATAGCAGGAGGACCGATAGCGACTGACACAACCTCGTCGTTCTCAATATCGTCTTCTTCTAGTGGTTTTAGATGACCTGAAGGCTGAAGAAAAATATATGCAACAAGGAAGTTATTACACTTTTAACAATTTACTGTAGTAAATCACAAAGATAAGTAATTTAGGGCATCAGAGACTTAAAGATTCAACAAAAGGAGGGTATCTTAATAAGATGAAACAATTTGATAAAATGTATCTGCAAACATAAATACGTACTTTCTTCCTTAACTCTCTGGATCTTTGAGTTGTTGTCCTTCGTTTAACTTCGTTTTCGTTTTGCGCCATGTGTCGTTTAGCATGAATATGTACAGCCTTGGTTGTGTCTCCGGAAGACCTCCTATTATCACCTCGCCATGCCTCCTACAACAAGTAACTAGTTATATTATTTAGTAAAAGATCAGGACATGAGCTAAATTCCTTCTCAAATATAAGAGGACATCTATATGTCTGTGTCTGTCCACAGCTAAAATGAGGCATTCATAATACCTTCCACAGCATGTGCTTATCCGAACCTTGTATCTAGCGACTTATATTAATTAAAAAACATATTAAAAAAACAACTAATACTATTGATATAAAACATGAATGATTTTATCGAGTAATTAGTGACTAAAATCCGGTACTCACAACAATAGCAGTCGGCACTATGAAAACAATTAAAAAAACTGATATCATTTTGGCGTCCATCGCTATATGCTAGCAACCACTGACTGCACAATCATCAATACTTTACTTAAGACAAAGAGTACGTTGGTGTTTTGTTGACAAAATATGCATCATTTGATTGAATAAACAACGGATTGTTGTGATGAGAGAGCATAGCGGATGTGGTTCAACTTATGTAGGTTTTTAATGATTACTCTTTTCGGATAAGCCACACTTGATCTATCAACTAATTATTATATACATTGTAAAGATTAAAACTCGAATACAACAAAAATGAAAAGACAAGGAAGAAATTTTGTTGAAGACATGACATGTTTTGAATTCTCTTTGATGTTATTTTCGTTTACAAGGTAAATATTTACCTCTAATACTTCAACAAGCGCATACTTATTTATTGTTTTAATGGCACAAGATTGTTGGTGCTTTGCTTTTGTTTTCTTCAGTCATGTGTCCGTCTTATCAAATTTATGTTATAACCATATTTTTTATGGGCAGCGCTATGTCGTCCTTTCGCTCCCCCTAACATTTTTTTTTGGTCAGAGACCTGGGGATTGGGTGTTGCTTTATTTATGTGTTAAAACTAAAATTTACATTAAAATCACAGTATACACATTTCCTATATCAAAATATTAAATCCTAAATTAAAAACAATAAAATTTGAACCATATTGTCACTATAGAAAGGTCAACAAGGAATAAAAAGGAGACTTTCAAAATAAACACAGCTACACTAAGCACATCAGAGCGGTCGGTTGTCCTGAGTGTTACAAGTTTTATCCCCTTCCAACAGCCCTCTCTGTACAGAACAAATAAAGTGGCGTGAACCCTGATGCAGCTGTAATGTTCGCACGCTGCTTTGCCTCTTGCATCCACTTACCTCACCCGGATATGTTGCTAAATATTTAAAATTTCGCTTCAAGTTGTAAAACAGGATTTAATCGAATTTGTTGACTGAATTAAAAACTGCCAATAACTTTCCAGTCATTGTATTTAAACTTTAAATTAAGGTACTTGTAAGGTCATCGACAAAAATTGTTTTGGTGTACTTTACGCCCGATACGCGCTGTAAAAGTGAATTAAAATTGTCAATTACGTGATGTGTTCTTTGTCGCAAGTTTTCGTACTTAGGCCGAGATATTTAAAAGAAATAGCTAACTGAGCTTCAAAATCGATTATTTGTTTTTTTTTTACTTTAGATACATATTTTATTTCGATTCATAGATGCGCATTATTTTCAAGTTAGATAAAAATGGATACTCGTTATACTAATTTTCAAAAAATTAGAGCAATGGTAATATGCTTGTTATAAAAAATGTTGTATAAAAAAACAAAACCGACTTCCAAACAAAATACACTTAAAGCAAGAGTACCTTCTTTTGGGAAGTCGGTCAAAAATGGATGTATCTCTCGAAGCGTTAAATGTATTCCTAAATTATTAGTGTAGTGTGTAATTTAAACACTAGCGTTTTTAAGAGTATTATTTTACTTTGTTAAACTAAATAACGTTAAAATATCCTCCATTCTCAACATCTGTTCAATCAGTAAAACCATCAAACGATAATGGAATTTATTTTGAACAAATTAAACTTTAAAGCGAGAACATTTGTACTCACGAGTTTCTACGATGATATCTACCAGATCGTAAAATGTGTTTTATCAGTAACGGAGGTCAAATTAAACTGGTTATATGCTAATATGAAGAAAACTTTCAAACTTGTGGTTAACATAAATTAAAATTTAATGTAGCATACAATATAAAAATTTTCACCAATTAAAATACTTGTTAACTCTAATATATAGAAAAAGAAAGCAATTGTTTGACTAATTTGGCATGTTAATTCAGTGAGATTCTATCTAACTGCTTCCAAAACCTGACTAAATAATAAATAAATTTAAATAACTAAGCCATGTTTGTGTGAGTTCTTCATTTTATTCTCTGTACATGTAGTTTCCAACAAGAAAAACATCGATACGAACAGGCAAAGTGTTAAAACACTTTATGGAAATTTCCATTCGCTCCGTCGATTAACATTCACAAAAGATACACAATCTAAAGTTGACGTCGTCACCAAACTAACAGCGGAACTCGGAGCTTTCGTGCTTAAAGCTTTCCGTTGTCAAATGTTGTCTTTGAACATACGTGACGTCACGACCTCGCGGAAATTGACTTAAAAACTTAATTTAAATTAAATCACGAATCACTATTATTTCTCTTTGAAATATTATTTTCAATTACTAAAAATGATCTTTGATCCAAGCGATACGAAAGACAATACAAAATTCCTATTTTTATTTTCTACATAAATTAAAAGGTTTTAAAGAAACCTAATGTTGTAACGTAGACTTGATATTTTAACTAACTGTATTACAGCACTTTGTAAGATAAAAGGTCGTTCACCTCATCTTGAAAATAAGGAACGAAAATACTTAAAGATTTACAGGGCTCGAGTGCTATGAGATTTATCCTTTATATCTCTTTTATTATTCACTTTACGACTAAAAGTAACTTGATGTTCTATAATAGAAATTTACTTATAAAATATTAAATTATACATGTCTCCAGTGGTAGTGCCCGCTTTAACATCTTAGCACGAATGGGTCGGCACGCCCGGTGTAATACCACGACCACACAGAAGACAGGCGTGAAATGGTAGCAATTCCGTGTTTCGTCTGATGAGTGTGGTGCAGGAGGCCTAATTTAAGTCCCTTTCCCTTTACCACCCTTTTCTTATAAGGAGAGGATGGGAAGGGGAAGTGGATTTGACGGTGGAGGAGATGCATAGGAAGGGGAAATATCCTCTTTATATGCGACTCTTCCTCCGTCGTATAAGGGTAGGCAACGCATCTGCAATTGCGGATGTCTATGGGCAGCGGTCGCTTCGCCATTTTGGCGGATTCAGGTGGCCGCTTGCTCGTTTGCCATCTTATGTTATAAAAAAAAAAAAAAATACATACATATCATGCTTACATTGTTTACATTCATTATTCAACTCGCACAAAACCCACACATAACTCTAAAAATATTTATTTAATTCTAACTTTAGCCCGCGACTCTGTCCCGTGAATTAAAGAAAAAAGTAAATAGACTGTTTTTTAGATGATAGTATACAAACATTCACATTAATAATTACTTTTAGCATATTAATTTTATCGAAACTTTGTTATTTGTACTTTTATGGTCAAGGGTGCAATGTAAAGCAAAGGTTTGATGACCCATCATAGAGAGTATCAGCGTAGATTGGACACCAATCTCCTGCCCAGAGGAAAATCAATTAAGGAATTTATTTATAGTTACTGCGTAAAAAGTTTACTCTGAAAATGTAAGAGCATAGTACTAGTATATCCTAATATGTGAAACACAAAGAGATACCTAATATTTAGAATTAATTTCAACATTACCTTTCTCAAATGTAGCAAATTTGCATTTCATGAAGCATAATTTATCTCAAAGTAATGTTGGCGAAATTAAACAAACAGTATTTTCATTTAAAAGCACCAAACAAGCTGAGCCATTTAACACTGACAGAAAATAAAATACAGAGTACTTAGAGTGTAATTTTGTATAGTTTTAGCTTAGTTTACAGCCTAGATAAATCACTTGAATTGTTGAATGCACATGAAAAGCCGCGGGCTGTTGATGATTGGCCCAAATGACAAGCGCAAGCGTAAGCGTTTTCTGATTTATTATTCCTTATTTACGTATCAGTTATTTGATATTTAATATTAAAAGTACTCATTCTAAATTGTCATGACTTTTATCCATGATAGGTTCGGATGAACGTAAAGGAATGTAGGCGCGGGGCACAGTGTGCGCTTTTCTCCATTCATAAGGGCTACTTATTTTTTACTAAATAAGAATGTCTACAAAGTTTCAATCTAATACGATAATACATAGAGTCAATCAAGAAGCGAGCGTACATCTTTCTTAAAGACCAGTAACTCTGCAGTTTTTCTACCGATCCGAATGTCTATGAAATTTGATGATGACCTCAGTAACCCGATCGTTCGTTTTCCGCTAACTATAAAAAACAGCATAAAAGTAGGCCAAATCCGGCTCCTTAATATACGTTATACAACTAAGACAGCAAACAGCTTGTATTTGCAGTGTTTATTAGCACGTGTAAATATAAATATAATTATTTAATTTACTTGGACCACAATTAGAGAGGCGCAATGCAAGCCGCGGCCAATGCCATTTGTTAACTTAACGTTGAGCTATTTGGAAGTCGCGACCGCGTGGTGGCGCTGGCGGCGCGTTTATTGCGACCCCTAGTCACGTCGCAAGCGTTACTCAACAAACAATTGCACATAATGACAACGAATTAAACTTTTCAACAAATAAGTCACATAAACTTATAAAAAGACTAGTTTCATACGAGTATATTTCAACCGAAGCAAATATAACTAATCTGTTTCGCTCATAATCTTTCTATTTGGATACACAACAGGATATTGTCCTCTAGATCGTTCTACCTTCCGTCCTCTCAGTCACTTCTTAAACATGTCAATTTGTTTGCACATTGTTTTACCATCTTTGAATG